AAACCACACAGAACGTATCGCTTCGAAATTCAGCACAAGACTAATGAGCTTTGACAAACACATCGCGAAGACGATCAAACGGTGCTTCAAATAAAACCAAAATATAAATTTCCATCAAAGAGCTTCAAACATGTAACGTTTGATCAAACTTGTCAAACCAACGGCGTAAACGATCAAATTGGTTTGACTCAAACCAAAATCTACGTGTTTGAATCAAACCGTCTGACCGTCTCGGAGGCCCTTAAATTCAAGCGCACGCGAGCAAAGCTGCGGGTAAAAAAGCTAGTTACTTGTATTAGAAGTGGAAGAAGTTCTTATATCAGAAGTTGGATAATTTCTTAAAATATATATTGTTGCATTTTTTTTAATTTAAGGTAGAAAAACTAACTTAATGGTTCGTTTTTAATCTCCGTTTATTTTCATATCATGCAGGTAACCCCAAATTTAAAAAAAATGTGGCAGTATAATACAGGAATACATCCGAAAGCATTATGGTAAGTAATAATTTCTCTACTAGGTCTTTTCGTCCAGATAAAAAGCTAAAGCGCATTAAAATTATTGTTGTTGCCATGATCCGAAATTGTAAACAAAAAGTATATTAATACTTTAAAACAAATAATGATTTTCAAAAATTAAAACAGGCAAAAGCAATACTGTAAGTAATTTATCTACAATATATTTTCGACGAGACTTACTAACAAGCATTAAAATTATAAGTTTCCATGATTCGACATTGGTCAACATTGTTAATGTCTTCTATTTATAGAACACCGTTGGTTGAATAGGACGTAAAGAGTGTTAAAAACGTGTTTGATACTAAATCTTTATCACAGATATTACAAAATAATATTGCTCTTTCTAGCAAATTGCTTAGTAATACGATTATCCGTCGCATATATGAACATGGCTGAAGACACTAATGAGTAAAATTAAGGAAAAATTACATACTATAAAAGCCCACTACTAAACTTAGCTCCATAGATTGTCTCATAGCGAGATTTTACCCATCTCAAAGTCAACGTGTCAAAGTCTACACAAATAAAGACATTTGATTTAATATTAATATTTTTTTATATCATCCCGTGGGTGTTTTAAGAGGTGAAAGAGGGAGATAAACCATAAGATGGGCAGCCACGTCTTCTTAATAACAATTTCTTTGAAGTCAAGCACTGGCTTAGAATAGTATATAAATATAAAAATAAAAAAACTAAGTTTTCGAACCCGCCTGCCAAGCATGGCACCTAAGGCAAAATATGTAGAGGCACATGTTTAGCAGTAGATTTTGATAGGTTATAATGAATTACTGAATCAAAAAAAAATCTTGTTGTGAAAAGGGCATTTTGATGTCAACAATATAAAAGAGAACCTTTAAATCAGAAGGTTAAAGACAGTTTCAAAAAATCGAGAGGAATATTTCTATATATAACTGATACGCGCATTATTAAATTTATAGATAAATGATGGAAGAAACGACGTGGCAACTCAGGAAATAAGTACCCGCATCGTACGCGAGAAACCTAGAAGAATAAACTTAGAAAATTATAGTAATTATATAATGATTTCTTATATTTACGTGAAAACTACACATTTAAATAAAACTAATGCATCCACGAATTTTTCTGCCACCAGGGCGGCGCCACTTTACAGTGAGGTAAAATATTTGACAGATTTCATAGCGGGGACGATAATATCTTAGCAAAATGTAAACTTTTAAGTTTCTTTCTGTATAATTAGTTATATTTTATATTAATTACATTAGAAATGAATAAACCAAACTATAAATATATCTAAAAGCCGATTTTTTATAAAAGTTATTAAGTGCAAAAAATTAAAAATTAAAATTACCAACGCATTGTGTTGTGTATTAATATAATACTCTAGATAATGGTAAACTATTATTTAAAACGGATTTCTCAATCAAATGACACTGTGTTACAAAAAAAATTTACCTCAGTCACAACTAGCGACATCTAGTGAGTGGAAGATTATTAGCCCTCATTTGACGCATTTTATGGCGTATATTAACTTATTTTATATTCCCGACGTTTCGAGCGCTTTACAGCACCCATGTCACGGGGGGGGGGGGACTGAGGTGTATGACGTCCCAATGTCATAGTTAACCACGGCTACCTCCAGATTAAAAATTATTAATTTTTGTTCCGATCTACGCAGTATGAACTTACAGTATCTTCATGTCTTGCAGTTGTATGCTTGGGTTGGGTTGGTTTTATTATGGGATCCCACGCAGATGGTAGCACCCAGCCATCTTCTCTATTGAAATTTGGATGTTTTTTGATTTCAAAAGCCTCGGAATCATCCTTGGAAGGAATCGGTGTTCTTTTGCGAGGATTTGTGGTCTATCAAACCTAATGTAGTGACGGGGGCGATCCTGTACGTGTTCACAGACTGCTGATTATATTTTTTTTTAGTATATATAGTCTCACAGAATACCAGCGTAAAATAGCAGCTTAATGCTGCTGTGTTTCGTATGGTGAGTGTAGAGAACCGGAGACCCTTTTTACTGGAAAAGAGGCATTCCATCTTAGGCCTCACGGGTGACAACGCATCTGCATTTTGATTCACAAACGAGGATAAATGTAGATGTCTATGGGCCACAGCAACCACTTACCATCAGGTGGACTGTGTGCTCGTTTGTCACCCTATCCTATAAAAAAAAATAGTAGGCATGGGTAATACCACTCCTAATGTTCGCGCATTCTATCTTGGCGGACTTGACGTTGCCCTACCGAGGAATTCGCGCATACACAGATGCATGGCGATAGAGATGTGCCACTTAATAACTGATTTGTCTATACGGATTATAGATTAAATTGAAAATGATAATTATTATTCTAATGAAAATATCTTTTTGTATTTCAAAATAATATATAAATAACCTCAAAATAATATAACTTTAAATTTTTCAATAAAATCTTTGATGCATATCATTATAATCACTGTATTTAAAACAACATGTTGTATTTACACACCAATGAACTATAACACAAATCAAAACAAACCAAATCATAATAGATTATTTACGTAATTGTAACTGCGCAATATCCTATGTAATATGCGCAATATATTTGCATCTCTTGTTTTACTTACCGCCCACCCTCCCACTCCTCTCTATCACCATTCTGCTACTAAAAACTATATATGCAGAGGCACTCGCAACAAATTTTAGCCCCGTCAAGATAGAATGCGCGGCCTCTACTCTATATATCAAATCGTATCTATGTTTTGGATTTGAATATCTGATATTGAATCTATATATTGGTTGCTATCTAAGCATCTTTTTTTTTCGTGGGGATATCCTCATGGATACCTCTGGCTACGGGGGCAACCGAAAGGTTATGCCGGATTCCTACCGGCTAAAAGCCCACGGTGGTCTCCATCAGCGTGTACGAGGGGTCCCGGGATCTCCGTTCGGAACGCAACCGGGGCCCCTCTCTCTAGCTTTGCTTTATTGGAAACACGTCCCAGGGGCAGAACTTACTACCACCAGCAGCCCTCGCAGTGCTATCACGATGTCTCGGAACCACTTCTGAGCCATCGTCCTCCTCGGGGGTTACGTTACTAGGTATTCGAGGCCCCCACTTCAAACGCCTGCAATCCTAGAGGCCCAGTTTCTGGTAGGGGAACACCATCTTCAAAGGGAGGACCGTGACGAATGCCTTGATGACGTCTTCTCCGAGTGAGATCTGTCCTCCTCCGTATCCGCTCAGCAGCCTCCTTCTGGACCATTACGGACTCACAGAAGGTGGCTACAGCCCTCCATGGCGAGTCCCCGCTTAACATCGCCGACACGACTGCTGGCAGGGAGAAGTCCCGACCGACCGACCCGGTTTGCGAGGATCATTCGCTCTCGTTCCCACGCTGGATATACCGCCAGCGTATGGGACGCGGAGTCCTGGTCCTGTCCACCGCAGTGAAAGCAGTTCACCGTCACTTCGTTTCCGATCTTACGCAGATAATCACCGAAGCACTAATATATAAAAGCAGTATTTCTCCGTGTAAGTCTGTAGGTGAGTCTTCTAACTCGTCGCTTCATCCAGGCTTCGAAGACCGGCAGGATTGCGCCAATAACACGTTTACGGGCATAGCCCTCCTCGTTGAGTCGAGTGCGCCACATTGCTAAAGCGTTCTGTCGCTCCTGCCGTTTTATAGACTCGAGTGCCTTATCTGATTCACTGTCACCTCTCTGACGGAGGATGCGGATTCGGTTGTACATCCTCGCATCCATATCCGCCAGTATATCTAGGGGTGGGAAGCGAGCCAGGACTGTAGCCGCCTCAAAAGATATCGTGCGGTATTCCCGCACGATCGTTAGCCGGATGGCTAGCCTTTTTGCCCACACAAGTGCCCCGTATAAGGCTCTGGACCGTACTACCCCCGCATAGAGGCGGCGTATTTCCTCCCTCGGTCCCTAGATTGGGCAGCAGTCTGTGCATAGCTCCCGCCACCTTCTCAATCCGGGGAACTAGGCGCTCAAAGTGCTCTTTGAAGCCCCAGCGACGGTCCAGGTGGAGCCCTAGGTACTTCATGTACCGCCACACTCTGACTACAAACCCAGCCACGTAGACGCACAAGTCGTGTGGTTCCCTGCTCCGAGGTAATTTGTGAAACCATTGTCTTATAAGGCGCTATTTCTAGACACAACTCGTGGATTTTGACAACGACGACTTCCGTCCCAAGCTCAGCGAGCTCCTTGGTCGCCTCGAAGGTGACCCCGCTGGCGACCACAAGTGTGTCATCGGCATAGCACACGATATTTACGCCAGCAGGAAGGTCGAGACGCAGAACTGCATCGTAAGCGAGGTTCCACAGTAGCGCGGACCCAGCACTAAGCCCTGCAGAACCCCACGTTTTATCTCTCTCCATATATTCCTACCATCTTGCTCCATGTACAGAATGTACCTGCCGCGCAAGTAGTCCTCGATTACGCCTTGCAGGTAGGCAGGCACCTGGTGGTGTGCTAATGCCATCCGTATTGTATCTCAGGGTAGAGAGTTAAAGGCGTTGACAATATCAAAACTTATCGCCAACGCCACACCACCCTGGGATACTGCTTGTTCCGACAGGGAGCGGACGCACATAATGGCACCTACGGTGGGACGCCCCCGTCGGAATCCAAATTGGCTTTCTGCCAAATCAGGACCGACGTGCGACTGATGTATGTTGAGCCGTGTGGCAACTATCCTTTCGAACAATTTGCCAATCTCGTCCAATAGGCATATGGGACGGTACGCAGAGGGAGAATCGGCGGCCCTGCCTTCCTTCTTCAAGAAGACCAACCTTGCTTCTTTCCATGCTGTAGGGAACTTGGCACTCCGCAGACAGCTGTTAAACAGCTGTCTTAGCCTGTTCCCTAATGCAACCAGACTCAGCACCAGAGCCTGACCAGGAATTCCGTCAGGCCCCGGTGCGGTGTTCCGGGCTCTCAAGCGGGTAACGGCTCGGTCCAGCTCCTCCACGGTCACCTCCATCTCATCATGCCACTCCAATAACGACGGCAGATGACCTGAGGGACTCGACCGGTTCTCTAAGAAAAGAGTGCCGATCACTCTTCCCAGCAGGTCCGAATCGAGAGTTTCCATCAAGGGCAGCGATCATGGCCGGAGTTTTCCCAGCACCATCCTGTACGGTCGCCCCCAATGATCTTCGTTGAGTTCCTCTAGGAGCTCATTCCAGGACTGAGACCTGGCGTTAGATATAGCAATTTGTAACGCCTTTGTAGCCGCTCGTTATGCCCCGTAGAGTCCGGTTATATTTTCAAGTGGAGCTCGCCTTCTTCTTCGGGATCTTGTGTACTGGCAACGACTCCGCAAGCAGATCGCACGAAGGTGTGCAATTTCTGCCGACCACCAGTACACCACCCTGCATTGTGCCGAGGGCTTAAATAGCGTGGTTCATCGCCTACGGTGTTAGTCGTAGAGAAGAGGAACTCGTAGTTACATAAGTAATAGATGCGTGGTTCTGCGAGATTAAGTTGCACTTGCCGCGACCAGTCCATGAATGAGTGACCATTCTCTTAACATACCGAGTATGAGAAAATAGAGAGTGCATCTGTATCCTCAGACACTTGTTGAACTTTTGTCTGTTAAGATCATTATTTTTTAAAATTCATGCAGCTCAAATGATAATAAGTTTATTATTATTTTATACTTTTCAGGGAGAGATGAAAAAAACTATTGGTAAATCAAATTGAGCATGCTTTCGCATTAAAAAAATTACGCATGGCATGATTATACGGAATTTTTTTTAAAGTTTAAATACACAGAAGTTTTCATTATTAACCTTATTATACTTCCAATTTTCCAATAATTTTATGTCAAACTTCAATTTGAAAAAGTTTGGAAAATCCAGTGCAGTGGGAAAGTGCACGACTCATAATGCTCATATGATCATCATATCATCATTCATGTCACTCCAAAAAGTGCAAGACGTATTTAAGTATAAATATTACATTCTACTTACTTTTAGTGCGTATTACTATTATTTATTCTGTGCTTTTAAAATATTGTAATAAAAATCTCTGATTATTATAATAATCAAGCAATATCAAATAGTAAGAAATTTGTTTTTTGAATATTTTGTATTTATTTCTACAGCGATCTTTTTGAACCGCTGCAAACAACCAATTCGATATCCACTTACAACGCCGGTTGACGCTGAACTAAGCGAGTAAGGCACAGGCAGTCTCTATTTACTGAAATAAATTTTAACACAAGGCTGCGAAAACACCGAAAATTTCGCCATTTTTGAGCTGAAAAAATTAATAAAAGCTAAACAAAAAAAAATTACACTGTCATTTATATTCAATGGCTTCTCACATGATAGATAAAGAGATTAAAAATAGATTGAGTTAAACAATTGATATTTTTAAAAGTTATCGTGTTTACAAGCCTTAAGGACATGATAAATCCACACCATAAGCCACTAAAACCCCTTTTTTATGTAAAAATAGCAATTAATCGATTTAAAAAAAATATATTAATAAGTTCAACAATCATTTATCTTTCTGACAATGTGCTTTTTATATCATTTATATGTATAACATGATTGCTGGATACAATTTGATATTTAGGCGCTAGTAGAACATACCTATGCACTTTGCGCAAGGCATGCAATACATTTCGACAGCACTATCGGCTTCAACACCCTCGAAAACCATGGAAATGACACCCATAATGAAAAAATTGGTACCTACTTCAGCCGCCATCATAAATTTACATTTCGACAGCACTATCGGAGTCAACACCTTCGAAAACCATGAAAATGACATCCAAGATGAACAAATTGATATCTATTGCAGCCGAAATCAAATCAAAAAACATTTCGACAGCACTATCGGCTTGAACACCCTATAAAACCATGAAAATAAGACCCAAGATAAAAAAAATTGATATCTATTGCAGCCGCCATATTGGATTTACATTTCGACAGCACTATCGGCTTCAACACCCTCTAAAACCATGAAAATGACACCCATGATGAAACAATTGGTACCTACTTCAGCCGCTATCTTGGATTTAAATTTCGGAAGCACTATCGGCTTCAACACCCTCGAAACCTATGAAAATGACACCCATGAAGAAAAAATTGATATCTCTTGCAGCCGCCATCTTGGATTTACATTTCGACAGCACTATCGGTTTCAACACCCTCGAAACCCAAGAAAATGACACTCATGATGAAAAAAATTGATATATATTGCAGACGCCATCTTGGATTTACATTTCGACAGCACTATTGGCATCAACACCCGCGAAAACCTTGAGAATGACACCCATGATAAAATAATTGATATCTATTGCAGCCGCCATCTTGGATTTACATTTCGACAGCACTATCAAAACCCTCGAAAACCATGAAAATAATACCCAAGATGAAAAAATTGATATCTATTGCAGCCGCCATCTTGGATTTACATTTCGACAGCACTAACGGCTTCAACACCCTCGAAAACCATGAAAATGACACCCAAAATGAAAATATTGATATCTATTGCAGCCGCCATCTTGGATTTACATTTCGACAACCCTATCGACTTCAACTCTCTCGAAAACCATGAAAATGACACCCATGATGAAAAAATTGGTACCTACTTCAGCCGCCATCTTGGATTTACATTTCGACAGCGCTATCTGCTTCAACACCCTCGAAACTCATGAAAATGACACCCATGTTGAAAAAATTGATACCCATTGCAGCCGCCACCTTCGATTTACATTTCGACAGCACTATCGGCTTCATTACCCGCGAAAACCATGAGAATGACACCCATGATGAAAAAATAGATATCTATTGCAGCCGCCTTCTTGGATTTACATTTTGATATCGGCTTCAACTCTTTCGAAAACCATGAAAATGACACTCATGATGAAAAAATTGATACCTACTTCAGCCGCCATCTTGGATTTACATTTCGACAGCGCTATCTGCTTCAACACCCTCGAAACTCATGAAAATGACACCCATGTTGAAAAAATTGATACCCATTGCAGCCGCCACCTTCGATTTACATTTCGACAGCACTATCGGCTTCATTACCCGCGAAAACCATGAGAATGACACCCATGATGAAAAAATAGATATCTATTGCAGCCGCCTTCTTGGATTTACATTTTGATATCGGCTTCAACTCTTTCGAAAACCATGAAAATGACACTCATGATGAAAAAATTGATACCTATTGCAGCCACCATCTTGGATTTACATTCCGACAGCACTATTGGCTTCAAAACCAGCAAAAACCATGAAAATGACACCCATAATGAAAAAATTGGTACCTGTGCACGACGCAAACAAAGTGATACGTCGAACTTACTAAATGCTTGTCGTAACCAACGCTAGTTGAACAACCTAGGGGCGGTGGGCGGAGCCATGAGGGGTTACGATCGTCGGGCCGCGATTACGGTTCAACAACTAGCGGTGGTTGCACACAGCAACGCGGAAAAAGCCGTAACAAGAATATTGAAAAATATAGCTTTGTATTTTAATGAATAGTATTGTAACTATGTAATAACTCTCCCAATAAAGGCACTGAACGAATAGCGAGAGTTAACATAGATTTGAATGTAGAAATCAATTAATGTAAAATTGTAAATTAATTATTGTATGTAAATTGTATTCCTTTATATAGTACAATTTAATTTCTTATATTAAGCCCTTAGGCACGAAAACTAATAAACAGGGCATGTTACCGTGACGCGGCCGCGGAGCGAATGAGGCTACGCGCGCCGCGCCACGACGTTTTATATTTATAGTACTGAGGCGGGGGGCAGGGTCCTCAGCTCAAAGTTGCTGATAAAACAACGGTTAAACTTTTAGTATATAGAAAAACTGTTATGTACGTATTAGTTTAATAAGTAGTTGTAAGAATGTTATATATTTAAGTCTGTTCATTAGTTTGTAAGAAATCTAACCAATAAAGAAAGGCGCGGGGGTGAGGCAAGGGTCCGTAGCCTCACGCAAGAGACTCCTCGCGGAGTTAGAGGCGAAAGAGCGGTTAGCCGAACTCAAGCTCGAGCAGGCTCAGTTACAAGCAAGAACGGAATTGCAAGAAATACACGTGCAGCGACTACAAGCAGAAGTCGGATCAACCGATGACGAAGATGAAGAAATAGAAGACGATTTAGCATCAGTACGCATTAGTACATGGTTGCAAGAAAAACCTACAGCGCAACCAGCGCCGCAGCCCGCGCCGCAACCCACGTTGCACTTCGCATCGCAACCCGCTCCGCAGTCTACATCGCAACCCGCGCCGCAACCCACGCCGCACTTCACATAGCAACCCGCTCCCCAGTTTGCATCACAACCCGCGACGCAGAAAGAAGACTATGGACAGGCGCAGCAACAAATCGACGTTGCTACTTAATCTTCAAAGTATTTCACGATGAACGAAAACATAGCGAGAATACGCCGAAGCTTAAAAGGGACAGCAAAAGAAACCGCAGGTTGCCTACTTATAAGCCAACCAGATCCCAGAATGATAATGGAAGCTTTGGAAAGGAGATTCGGACGACCAGAAGCGTTAATTCACTTAGAAATAGAGAAGCTGAAGCTGCTGAACAAAGTTACGGACAATCCCAGGGAGCTATGCATATTCGCAAATCGCATAGCAAACGTAGTGGGCACCGTGGAAGCACTCTAGAAAGCACACTATCTGCATAGTCGGGAAATGACGCAAGTTATCACAGACAAACTCACGCCCATATTGAGAAGCAAATGGTACGATTATGCAGCCAGAAAGAAAGAAGATATCCCAGAGCTTAAGAAGATATCAATGTTCTTAAACGAAAAAGCGGACAAATGCAGCGCGTATGCCTTGCCGGAGTTCATAGCAGAGGACAGCGAGACGAGAGAGCGAAGACCGAGAAAAATAGAACGTGCCTTCGCCACAAGCAAGAAACAATATGAAGAACGCTGCCCTCAATGCAAACAAGAACACAAACTGCCCGATTGCAAGTCATACGCCGCTCTG